CAGTATGCACATAAAATTTCAGTGGAGCATTTTTTTTCGAGTGCATGTCATCCTCTGTTGAGCGTTGTTAAGAGGCCCTGACCAATTCTATCGATTTCCTTGAGTTTTATTGAGGCTTCTACCTATTAATATTGTCAACGCATCCAGCCGAGGTATGCTAAACATGTATTTTCATCCAACACTTTATTATATACGCAAGGGTCCAGTAACAACATTCAAACTCCGAAGGGTCCTTGGCTGACTTTCATAAGCAATTTTCCCCCGCCTCCGGCGGGTCTAAGACCACCCGGGTTTGTGGGTAATAATTTAAAAGTTTATTAAAAGTAAATAGGTGGTTAATAATTTAAAAAATAAAAAAATCTAGGGGTTTTCTCTCTTAAAAAAATGTTTTTTTAGATATAGACTCTTACAACTCTTATTTCCTAGCAAAAAATCCACCTAGTTATAAACATCTAAACAAAACCCAAATTTAAAAATGACTGTCAAGTATAGAAGTAATTGACCTATTATTACAAAATATTTACAATTTGTACCACAATATTCAAAATAAAATCAATAAATGTTATTACTCACCTTAATTACAATAAAAAAATATAATTATTGCACATATTATTACCCCTAACACACACACACATATACTTCAAATGTATATATATTACTACCATAAGCTATATATATATATATATATATATATATATATATGTACACATATATAGTTTACCTGTCACATCCCGGCCTGGGCCCCCACCACAACCCGGGCCCGATCCACCACCGTAGCACGATATTGTCCGCTTTGGGCTTACCATTCCCTCACGGTTTTGTTTTTGGGAACTCACGAGCAACTTCCCAGAGGGTCACCCATCCTGGGAGTGCTCTAGCCCTCCTCTCGCTTAACTTCGGAGTTCCTACGGAACCCGAAGCCAGTGAGCTCCCAAAAGGCCTCGTGCTAGGTAGAGATGGAAATATACATTTAAGGATCAGTCCCCTGGGCAATGTGGGATGTCACATTACCTATATGAACGTATAGTAGTATTATTTATATATATATATATATATTCACATATATATACACACACACACACACTTATACATGCACAGTACTACATATATGATCAAACATATTAAACTAATTAATCTACCTAAATTTAAATTTATGATGAGCAAATAACATATATTTTGTAGGTAATTTATTTTTCATGTATTATTACATATATTTGGCACATTTTATTGTTATAAGATATATGTACAAATAATAGGTAAATTAATCTTGAATAAAATACAATAGCTTTATTTTGCAAGTAAATTAATTTTGAATCAAATAACATTTCTTCATTATGTAGGTATTTTATTTTGTATGTATCATCATATATATTGGGCATATTTTATTATTATATGTAAAAATAATAGGTAAACTAGTATTGAATAAAATAATAACATTTTTTTATGTAGGTATATTATTCTGCATATATTTGGGTTTGCTTTATTATTTACGTAAATTATTTTGCATGAATTTTTATGTATATCATGCATGTTTTTTTTGTTGTTATATATATATATATATATGTGTGTGTGTGTGTGTGTGTGTGTGAAATAATTTACCTACATTTATATGTAAAATATAATTTTATTGACTTAACTAAGCACCTATTGCTACATTTATTAGGCATGTTTTATTGTTATTATATATTATGCAATGAATTTATTATTTTTTTATTTTTGTAAAATCATTAATTCTCCCTTACAATTTGTATGGAATTAATTGTGTAAATCAAACATTCAAATAGGGGTGTTTTGGGCATTGAAAATTTTTAAATGTGTAAAGTCAAATATAATTTGACACACCCCGACCGAAATCAGGACGTGCTGGCCGTCACGCGAGGGTGACGTAACCATGTGCACAGTGCGGAAGCAAAAATATAATAAAAGTACGAATAAATAAAAACTAAACTACTAAACAATGTAGTTAACTTACAAGTGCAAGTGTGACAACAATATTCAAAGCACAGAAAGCCCAATGCAGCCCAGAGGAACAAACACTAGCTAAACACACCCAGAGGTGGTCCTACACTGGATATAATCTATCAGATATGCCGTGGATTCCTCGTAAGCCACCAAAAGAGCAAACCAAACTAGAACCTGGAGGGACGCAAAACAGAAAGTGTGAGTGGTCAAAAACAAAGCTTTTCAAAATCATTTCATTAACAAAAGTTCTAACCCCTCGCCGTAAAACCTGTATAGTTTCCCAGAAAATAGAATATACACATATATCGAAAACATGCTTAGAAATATGCCATGTCGAATGCCTCCACATAAAATGTAAGTAACCCAGGTAATGTCAATCAATGTAAGTAACATGTCAGCCGGAGTCACCTAACGTGACCTGTACGGTTGAATCTAGAGCTCAAATCCCCAACTTACTAACTATACCTGCACACGAGTCGGAACCACCTAAAGTGGTATGTACGACAGGACTAGGTGTAAATAAATACGCTCAAGTGCTACGATCACGTGAAGACTGGGCGAATAATCGCGGGTCACCTACAATTAGAAACCACCTATAGTGGTCTGTACAACAGAACTGTGCACCTAACTTGGATCCAAGGTGAGCGTGTGGTGCGGGAGGTGAACATCACGTGAAGGACTGTGCCCTACTCTGGGCGAGAACACTAACACCGGGGGTGTAGGTTATGAGCTCTTTATGTGTCTCATATAACCACTACGTCACACTATAAACTATAACTTACCTGGCACTTACCTGTACGTCCGCAACACCAAACATACATATATGTAACTACTAATGCATAAATAAATAGGCAAACGCTATGCATGACATTTAAAACATATAAACATTCCATATCATTTTCTGGGAAAAACCACAGTATATAGGTATATATGGAAAACCAAAAGCCCACTCACTGGTATGTGGAAGGGTCGTAAACCCCTTGCCTCGAGTGATTGCGCTCGTCCTCAGGATAGGTCTCACCTATATGCGAAACAACTATAAAAACATCAATTTAAAGCACATAACCAAAATTAGGTAATAACTTCTCATACAATGCTCAAATGGGGTGTGTGAATACACCAACATGATCTAATCAACCTCAAGAACAACCATATTTTTAAAATAATTTTTTGGCCTCACACGCGCCGGCCAAGGCACGGCCAGACGCGCGGGCACGTGTTTGGCGCACATGTGGTAACCCTAACGGCGTTAGGGAATATTCCGTTAAAACTAACAGATTCCGTTAAAGTTAACCTGATGCCATTAAGAATATTCCGTCCAAACTCACGGAATATTCTGTCTTCTTCTCCAGCACACCTCTGGTGCCGTTGTTATCACCAGAAAACTGGAAAATTTTCAAACCTTCGTTTCTCACTCGTTTTTCAACCAAATTTCATGAAATTTGCACCAAAATGAAGCTTACAACAAGTAGAACAAAACCTTACCACTTTCAAGCCCTGAAATTCACGGAATCTCGCCATAAAAACTTCGCAAAATCCAACCAAACCTGCAACTCACGATCCCGACGTCTAAATCCTTCCAACGAACCACCCCAAGCTTCCTAAGGACCTCACTAAGCTTCCTACAAGCTTCAAATCCCCTGAAACACAACGTTTCACGTGTGCATAAACAGTGACCAAAACGGAGATTCTTGGTTCGACATGAAATCGAAGGATTTCCTACCTGAAATTGGTATGATTGAACTCATATGGTCCTCACGAACACAAAGGTATAGCTTTCCACCTCGATCTGCAACGTTTTCACAGGTTTTGGGTCTTGTCCGTACAAAAAAAGAAGAAGAAAAGAGAGAGAAGGTGTTTGAGACAGAGAAGGTATACAGGGGAAGAAGATGAGGATGAGGGTGAATGTGTGGTCTAGATGCAACCAGCCAAACATCACCACAACACCCAAAATAACAAATAACCACTAGGGGCAAAAACGTGATTTCACACCTACGGTACAAATAATTCGGGACGGGCTGTCACATAATTAATGAATTTGCTGATGTGGAATCTAGTTAATGGGTTTTATTCCAGTAAAAGACTTATGTCGGGTTTTATGTGGAGAAAAATAAGTTTTAGGGACTAAAGTCATATTTTTAGAAAAAATAAAGTAAATTAAAAGAATTAAAGTTTCATTAGGGAACTATTAATATTAGCATCTAAAAATTTACAATATTTTCTTTTAAACATAGAAGATTTAGAGTGCACATTAAGGTACTTGGTTTGGAGTGCTAATAAAAATTTTCTAAAATTAAATATATTAGTAATTACTAATGAAACCTAAGATATATCAATAATTCCTAAAATTTAATATTGTAGCGTGTTTAAGCGTGTTGGGCCACTTAGTACTATAGTCTAATGATATTTTTTTTTTCACTTATAAGTGAGAGGTCGTATGGTTGATTTTTGCCAAAGAAAAATTCAAACCAAATTATTATGGTTAGCCCATTGTCAAGTTTAGACAATTTCCTCACTTTTAGTGTAGATAATATCGTATGTATTAAAAAAATGGTTTACCATTAATTAGCATATAATTTATTTACAAATGGAATTTTAATCATATTGGTTTTTATTTGAATTAATATTAGATTAATAACCTGCTTATATAAATCAACATCATCCTACCTCGAACTCATAACATTTTAATAAACACTTTCAACATGAATCCGATTCTAACTCATAATCTCCATTCTTCCTCAATTGATATCTTCAACTCATTAATGCCTTCTTTTTTTTTATAACGAATTAGTAAACAAGCCAAAAGAGATTTTTACGTAATTTGGAATGAAGATAGCCCTTTGTTTAGAAGATGCCTTTATGCATTACTCTAAGGCCTTTTTTAGAAGGTTGTTTGACAATGAGGTCGTAGCCTTTAATGGAGACTATTGATCCCTAGAAAACTCAAGAGATACGGTAGGCCTTTCGAAGGGGTGAGTTGTACTTACGTTCTTATTTTCAGTTTTTCTGTTTTTTGTTGAAAATTTTTATAGTAGTTCAGAGTATAAGATATTCTGAATTTTTTAACTATTACAGTATAATTTTGTGATTTTAACTAAACATCTAACAATTAAAAAATTCAAAGTATCTAATATCCCATGCATCAGAAAATCCCTTTTTGGTGATCTTGGATGATTATCTCATGTTAGCTTGGTGATCTTCGATAACTTCTGCGAATTAAGTATGGGGTCCAAATAAAAGGGGAAAATTCAAAGATTGCAAAAAAATTCAATATTTCTAGTAAAACTCGTCTCATATGAAGTCGTATGCATGCATGGGGAAGTCAATACGCCAAGAATCTAGAGAAATCTACTTTCTGGGTAAACGATCAAGTCAATTTCCTGGACTGTAGGAAAGTCTTGGCGTCCATTTCGTCGTGGGAAGAATTAGAAATGTATTGGAGGAAACTGGCGAAATCTGTATCCTTGTAACGTTTAGGGTTTACTTCGTCAATGAGTTTAGGTGATGGCCGAACTGTGCTCTTGAATGGCAGGCTGTGCAATGAAGCTACGGATATTCTTGACTTGCGAGAGTTGACCAGAACCCTATGGACCACGCTCTTGTATCTCCCATTGCTAAATATCTGCATTGCATGCATCCCCAACAGTTCACCACACACAAATATATCAAACTCAATTTATATATATATATATTCATTAAAGCCAATCTAACAGTCAAGAGGGTGTGACAAATGGGGATCCCTCTTGTTAAAGGATCTGTGTATATATATATATATATATATGTGCTTAGTTATGACATGATTAGTGTTGTTAATTGGAAGACCGTTCAACCCAAAAAAGTGGGAATGAGGGCTAGTAATAATGTTAATCTGTTAAACAACCATGAAATTTAAAAGTTTATGTTCTTGGAAAATAGTTGTAAATGAAGCAAGCCAACATTTGTAACCAGCTTATGTTTGTGGAACTCAAAGAAGAAATTTTTTGTGTACATGTGACCGTATGTTGACGTGGTACTATAAATCTATACAAATTATAACACGTAAACTGTGCCTAGCGTTCACCACTTTGGATTCAGCTAGGTTTCATTTACTAATAGGTTATTTCGGGGAAATTAGTCATGTCCAGCCAAATAGTTGTAACTAGCTGATAAGGTTTCTGCGTCTCAAAGAGCTTGAAAGAAACTGTGTTATGATTGGTATGACAATTGGAAATCGTACAAGGGATCAATGCAAGGATCAATACGATATATGAAGCACCTATTCAATATCACATGCATGCTTCATGATTAATTAATTGATAATTACCAACCTCAAGATGATCACCAACATTGACAACAAAAGAATTTGGATGTGGTTCCACGGTTACCCAACTTCCTTGATTCTGTATTTGAAGACCCTTAACTTCATCTTGAAGGAGAAGAGTGAGGAGGCCATAGTCCGAATGGGGTGGCATGCCTAGTGTTAAATCAGGTTCAGGGCACGCAGGGTAGCAATTCGCCACAATGAGTTGGCTTCCATCTTCAAATTCCTCCAAACTGCCTTTAGCCTCACCACCTTTTGTAGTTTCCACCAATCCTAGGCTCTCCATGATTGCCTCCATTAGCATTAGATACAAAAACTTCGTGCTCTTCGAGTAGTTCACCACTGCTTCCCTATGCATATATAATGACATGATGTATAAAATTCGAATTAGAAGTCGATTAAAAATCCAAGTGATTGCATCCAAGTATTATTAGGATGTACATAAAAATCAATATAAGTAAACAAAACAAATTGAATATCCAAATTTGTGTGTTACGGTAGCAAGTCGATGCATGACCAGAAAAATACAATCACTTGTTGTATAACTATGTGCTGATCTCTTTGAACACATGCTAGGTCACTTGATGAGAAATACAATAGTTCAATACAGCTCATGATAGAAATTTTTACTCATCGATGACTAACAGAACCCTAAACTTGAGATATATATGTGAGAAGAGAAGCGAAGAATCACCTTAAGTCCGCTGGAGAAGAAGGCCAACAGGACACAGTGTCTTGTAAAGGATGGCAGCTAAGTTTCAGAAAGTCTCTCCAGCAAAATACTTTATCATTGTTCTGGTTAAAGCTTGTTCCATACCTAGCTGGGGAAGACATATCCTTTGACATGTACTTTGATCTCTCATTGAAAGGGAGCTCGAAAAATCTTCTGCTTACATCAATCATTTCAAGAATAACATCGTCTTTGATACCATGGTTTATCAACTGCAGCAATAAAAATAATTAAGGGTTTATATTTAGTTTCATAAGTTTTGTCATATGACTAGTTATGCATATGGACCTATATATATATTTAGGGTTCCTTTTCACAAAAATTTATGCGCTATTCAAACCAAGCGGGATCCCGTTAGAGAAGCAGAATTATATGACATGCATATGGACAGTTATACAACAATATGAACTAGATGATGATCACATTAAAGAAGGAACATGCATACGATTGAACATCAACCTGAAAAAACCCGAATTCTTCGCAAGCGTTTGCAAGGGACTGTATTACTTGGGATCTGTTGGACCCTTGCAACTGAGTAAAATCAATAACTGGCAACTTGAGGTTATGCTTGCTAGCATTCCCAGTGTCTCCCAAGTCGGGTCGTTCTTGGATGGGCAATATGTACTTGCTTGGAACCCTAGTCAACCCTCTTTCGCATAAATGTCTCACTCCCTTCTGAAGGTATTGGATTTCTGTTTCTTCATTTTCGATATTGTTTCTACCATCAGCAGTACTATTTGTACCCATGTCAGGTAACATACAGATATTATCAAAGAGAAAGTTAATATATTTATCATACAAAGCAAAGCAATGGATGACAAGAAGGAAAATTATTGGGTGGTTTTGAACCGTTTATTTGCAGAGATGTGTGGAGAAGAAAAGGGATGCCTGGGAACCTAGGGGGGTGGCACTAGAGGCAATAAGTTAAAGAATAATTTCGAAGGTGGTGTACTACTTATAGGGAGGGAAAGAATATATATATATTGCCATATTCCCAGTGCAAAGAGACCTTTGACCAAGTTTAGTCTGACCTTGTATGTAGCAAAAAGATCGAAAGTTGAGTCAAATCTTGAGGCGGTGGAGCTGGTGAGGAACTTCGACTATCTACATGGCCCGCGTAGAATTACAAATTCAACGTTCCCAACGACCCGTTTCAAAAATTTTATTTTAATTAGTTAAAATTAAAAAAATACTCCTAACTACGGAATGGTTGACTTTTGTTGATCTTCGTTAGCAGACATATTAGAATTTTTCTCATATTTTGTGCCTAGAAATAATGAGGCAGTAAAGACGATGATCCTCAATGAAGCGCACCAGTTGGCATATGCTATGCATCCGGGTAGCACGAAAATGTACCACACCATCCGCCCCTATTATTATTGGTATGGTATGAAATGATATATCACCGACTATGTGAGGAAGTGTATAGTTTGTCAACAGGTTAAGGTAGAGAGAGGAAGAAACCGGGTGGATTACTACAGAACCTTCCAATTCTAGCATGGAAATGGGAAGATATCACGATAGATTTTATTTATAGGTTGCCGAAGACTCGGTCGAAATTTGATGGCATCTGGGTGATTGTGGATAGAGTGACTGAATCCGCTCACTTTATACCTATCTGGCAGAACTATAAACTAGAGAAATTAGCAAAGCTGTTTATTGAGAACATTGTCAAGTATCACGGCGTACTGGTTACTATTGTATCGGATCGGGCTCCGAGGTTTACTTCCAGATTTTGGAAGGCATTTAATGACGCCCTTGAGGTAATGAAATTTTGAGGACGAAATTTTCCTAAGGGGAGTAGATTGTAATGAACTTTTTCGAAAATTTCATTTTAATTAGTTAAAATTACAAAACTACCCCTAACTATGGAATGGTTGACATTTGTTGTCATTCGTTAGCTGACATATTAGAAATTTTCTCATATTTTATCCTTATAGAACTCGTCGATACAAACACGCACGTGCGAACGAAATCGAATTCGGTGTTATAACGAAACTCGTACGAATTTTTAAACGTATGGCCATTTCGGTAATTTCACAAGTGGAGATTTTTCTCCACTTTTGGACCTTTACATGGTGGCACGTGGCACCCACTGTTTGGTGCCTTTTTCCTTCCCCTTCCCTTGACCTTTGGAACTCTCTCTCTCACTCTCCCTATCTCTCTTTCTCTTTCTGTGCTCTTCTCTCCGACAAACCAAACACACACACACACACACACACACACACATACTTTCACACACTTAGATCAATCAACACCACTACCCTCTCTAAGACCTAGACCCAAATTTTAGGCAGAGATCCACCTCTCCCATTTTTTATTACATGGTATAACTTATTCTGCTTGTGCTAGTCCTGACGAATCTTGGCCATCTTCGACGCAGGTAAGCTTCTACAACCCTTTAGTTTGTGTTTTAGAGTAGATTAGGTTGAATTTGAGAACCTTGGAGTGTTTGAATGCAAAAAATTCTTAGGGGAGACATTTCTCAGTTTTTCTGTGGAAAACGGTGGCTGGCAGGCCATTTTCCGCCCGATCCCGACCTCAACTCCATCCCATCTTGGTATGACTCGAATCTTTACTCTCTTACCTTCAATTTGGCTTTTGAATGCTAGATTTTGGTTAAGGTTTGACCCTGGATTGGAGCCAGGGAAGTTTTCCCGGCCAAAACCCCAAAACCCAGTGTCATTTTTCGTTGGTTATGGCGGCCCATGAAACTATTGGGCAGATTTAACCCATAGCCTAAATGGGAGCCTAACTCAGCTACCAGCTACTGGGCCAACCCACTAAACTAGCCTAGCCCCTTTAGCCTTAGCCCATTAACCCTTTTAACCCAGACCCAAACTTTTAGGCTTGGCCAGACCATTTTCCCTAGCCTATACTCAAACCTTTGAACCATCTCACTAACCTTTGGGCGAGCCCAATCACCGAGCCTAACCCAAACCCAAAAGCCCTAAACCGGTCCAACCCACTAACTATTGACTCGGACTGAATCGGCATTGATTCGACCTGATCGGATGATTGACCTGACCTAGCCGTTGACCCCCTGATGATTGACTGGTTAACGTTGACCATTGATCGTTGACCTTTGACTTCGGGTTGACTTTTCAGATTTTGGATGGGACCCCTCTTAGACTAATTTCGACGTCATGATTCCAAATCCACGCTCCGTTTTCTCAAATTCCAACATTTTAGTAGAGTTTTATTAAATGTAATCTCTTTATGTATAGGTGCATCGGTTGAAGGTGATACAGTCCATCCTAGTTCGAGTGGCTCTTCGGTAGTGGAGTACTTGTGAGTGGACCCCTTCATAACTTATATATTTTATAAAATATTAGCCTAGCATGCATTCATATTTCATGATTTAAATATGTTTTATAATATGCCTTATAGAATTCTATATTTAATGGTTTGTGAAATATTTATAATTTATCGAAATTATGTTTTACGAACGGATATGAATTATTTTATGGATTTGCGGATGTGATTTATCTTTCATGGATTTATGAGACGAGGTTTAAGCTTTTGAGCTACGATGATTGATACGAGATTTTGAGATATGTTTTTGGTACTTACCTAGTGGGTTATCATACGGCACATTTGCACACCACGGGTATAAATGTCTTTGGCCATGGGACACAGATGATGGACGAGTGAGATATGATATATTATACCCCAGCTTCACTGCTGAAAGCAGTGTCGGATAGCTTCACTAGCCACGACTAATGTTAGTGTGGATGTATGCTATTTTATACAGCTTTACCTTCAGGTGATGGATAGGTTATTCAACTTTACCTTTGGGTGATGGATAGCTTATTTAGCTTCACCTTCGGGTGACGGACATGTTATTCAGCTTTACCTTTGGGTGATGGACAGGTACTACCTTCGGGTAACTATGATACCCCTAGTTGAGTACTTCATTGATGAGATTTACGGATTTGCCTTCTGGTGGCATTTTTAGCATTAATGAGCATGGTTTTACATGTATATGTTTTACGAATGTTTTGCATGGCATGATAAGGTTTTCATAAAAGCTACTATTTAGTATTATATATGTTTTCAAAACAGGGGGTTAGTATGTTTAGAAATAAAATGGTTTTCCTATTATTAGTAGTATTATTATAAATTATGGTCCACTCACCTTTTATGTTTTGCGCCCCCTCAGGACATAGCGATGAAGAGTACAATCTGAGCTTCGAGGCTTTTCCCCACCAGTGATCATGCTCACTTCTATTTATGTATGGCCCTTATTGACTCTTTTAATTTGATGCTCACTTTTCTTTAACATTCTGTTTATTGGTATGCTCTGGACATATTGCATCTTTTACTTTGGATTTGTAATCGTTGATCTTTCTATTTTGTCTATGTGGATTTTACATCATTATTGTTGTCACTTAGCATTTATTGTTTTGTAGTATTCATGTTTGTCTATACACTTAGGGCTTTCGTCACCCTTGAGTGTCGACCCGCACGTGCAATCGAGGTGTCATTTGGATATCTAGGTTGGGGCGTGTTAATTTGGTATCAGAATTTTGTTGATTTAGTTTTATTGATTCTATCCTATTGATTTGCTTTATTGACCTAATTTCGTTGGTTTTGTCCTGTTGTTTCACTGTTGTTGGTCCAGAGCATATGTATAATTTCATACTCTTCTCTTGATTGTTACTTCCTTTCATTAACTGTTGTTTCCTTCCATCCTTGATTTTTCCTGAAATAATTATTTCCTTCCATTGATTATTATTTCGATCCATTGCATATTATTCCCTTCCATTGATTTATGTTTCTTTCTATTGGTTGTTATTTCTTCTATGAAATGTGGCTTCCTCTTGCGGTTTGTCATTCCCTTTTATTTCTGAGTGTGAAATTTGTATTTCTTTCTTTCTTTCTTGATTACGAGTTATTTTGTTATACTAAACTCTATTTTTGGTTGTTCCTCAGAACCATGAACACTCGTGACGGAAATGCACTTCGTGGTGGTAATATTCCTCGGCATCCATGTACGGGTGTGTTAGGTGGATTCCAGCAGTTAGCCTACGTCGGAAATCCTCGGGAACCGCGGCCAGAGCTGCACATATGTTGAGATTGCCCGTAATCACGGGGTGACAGATTTGAATATTGTGGGCGCCTGTGAGGAGGCAGAGGAGTGGCTTGAGAAAGTCGAAGATATTTTTGATGTCATGTAGTGTCCTGAGGAGGAGCGAGCAAGGAAAACTAGTCATTTTCTTAAAGGTGGTGCCAAGACCTGGTGGGACTATGTTAAACGATCTCAGCATCCTAATACGCCGATGACATGGATGACGTTTTGGGAACTCTTCTCAGATTACTTTCTCAATCCCTAGTACATCACTAGAAAAAGACAGGAACTATATGCTCTGCGCTAAGGTAATATGTCGATTACCGAGCTTGATAGTAATTTCAGACGTTTGGTGAAGTATGTCTCCTCAGTGGTTGGGAACCAGTAGGAGATGATGTACCATATTGACATTACTGTATCAGATAAGATTCGCCTTTTCTTGTCAGTGATGTCGTTTGATTCTTACGAGAGTATGGTACATACATCTTTACTAATAAAGCGTTCATTCTTGACTTCCAGCAGCAGAAGCCAATTTCAAGATCAGTTTTCTCAGGGTCGAGGATTTCGATCACGGAGCACTAGAGAACGATCTTTTTTCATTTAACATTGGCCCGAGACACTTTATTCGTTAAAACATCGTGGACAGGGGTTAGGATCTTCCAGCAAGGGGTCAGGTACTGAGGTAGTGAGATAATCGTTCGATCATTTCCCATTCGTTGCTCTGATGTGCATACACTGTGGCAATCACCACCGGGGTGATTGTGCCGTCAGGTCCAATTCGTGCTATAGATGTGGTGGGATAGGACATTATGCCTGTGATTGCCCTACCGGCTGACCTTTTGAGAGTATTGCGTCTGACTC